AACTAAAATCAGATTTTGAAGAGATTATCAGCACTGCCATATTTATTGCACCATTATTTGCAGTAGCCAAGATACAGAAGCAACCTAAGTGATCATCAACAATTGTGTGGATAAAGAAAATGTTGTATACATACACAATGATATACTATTCAGCCTTTAAAAAATGGAAGTTCTGTCATATGCACTGACATTTTATTTTGACTATAATTTTAAAGAATTTTAATCCAGGTTTTCCTCTGAAGTAAAAATTCTAGGTAAATAGTCTAGTAAACAAATGAGTGCCAGCAAAAATCCAAAGGCACAGGTTTCATCTTTTCCCAAATATAAAAAATCCTTTTGAGAACTAAATCCCACTGAAAATTTCACAAATTTAGATTCTAAGGTGGCTTATTAAAATAACCAGGAGATGAGCTCTTTGCAGGTGTCTTCTTTCTGGGAAAGAGGGGCACAGGTCACAGTCATTCAGAGTGGTATAGTCAACTTACATGACAGGAAGAGATATAAGACAAAGTCTTGCCATTGGCACCTGATCTCAAAATCGATTACAAGAATGAGTCCAAGGAAAGTTCAGTACAAATTTGAATGCCTAAAGGGTTGCACAGGGCATTAAGTCCCTGAGGAAGATGGGGTCTCACCAGGGTGAACTTTTATCACTGCCTAGACAATGGATGTCAGTTAGGGTTCAGGAGCATGAAGGAAAGTTGCCTTGCTTTTAGTATGTCCGCTTAGCTTCTCTCTGAAAACTTCATGGTGAGCATAATGAAAAGGTTCATGTTGTAATTGTTAGTCTACCAAAACAAACATGTTGAGCAAAAACTAGAATCCTTTCAGATCTAACTTTTCTTATTAACTCTAGTCATACCCTTGACCAGAAGAATCTGGCCAGAAGCCATTTATGATCTCAAAACGGAGGAATGTATTTTTGTCCCAGCTAGAGAAATACGAAGGAGATTCTGTTATGAATGGCCCTTGTATACTAGCCAAAAACCCTAAGACCTTTTGGGCTGCAGTTTTAGATCTCACTGGATCTAAGAAATACTTAATTTTCTTAAATTCCAGAATTAGCACATTTACTGGAACCTTGGAGATTTTTAAGAACTGGCTATTTGCTTTTGCTCTGAGTCTGTTTGGTTTTCCAGGATTCTCTCTGACCCCCAAAACTACTCTAGTTTTTCAAATGTGACACGAAACATAATAGGCACCCATCCCCTTCTCAGATTATAGAGCAACTAGAGCAGAGCTTTGAAACATATTGGAGTAAGCAAGAGCTAGTTTTTAATCTCACTTTAAACTGGGGGAAAAATGACCAGACTAGGGCTCTTCTTGGAGAGAAAAGAGAAAACATGGACCAGAGCCAAAGTTATAGCCTATAAACAGGTTCTTAGACCATTCACACTCTGGGAAAATTCAGAGACTGAGAGACTGGTGGACTATAGCCCACCCTAGCATATACACCAGAAACGGTGGAAGATTCCACTTGGCAAAACATATTCAGACAGGAAACACGCCATCTGATGTTTCAGTTTAAAACTAAATATCCTATCCTATTTGTAACTCCCACTAGTGGGGCCCTAGCTTCAGCTTTTCTGTCAAGATCTTAGACACTCATATAGTCAATTTGATCCCCGACTCACCTCAATTAGAGCTGTCCACACAGCTAGTTATTTTCTACCCATTCCAGTTTAAGTCAGTTCAAGTATAAATATTGCATGGACAATAGAGGTATCTATTTCCTTAGGGATAGTATGATGCAATATAACAATATGGGACCTGGTTTACATATAAAAAAGCAATGATTGAAGAAATGTATGGAAATTATGATCTTATCTGGGTCAACAGACATGCATCAGCTGAAAAATACCCCTAGAAGCTATCAGATGAAAATATTCTCTTCAACTTCAAAAGTTCCATCATTAAATATTGCAGAGATCAGACATCACATAGCTAGTATCAATTAGCCCTCACTAGCAGCAGAGAAGAGGACCAAGGCAGTGGATAATGAGATTTATTTCCATAAGTTACTCTATGTGATGATGGGTGACTTTGCATTGCTGATAGCCAGGAGGGGTGAGTAAGAGTTTCAGATGTTCTTCTCAAACTGACCAATATTGATGGTATTAATTAGTGGCGATAAAGGACTCAGGCTCCCATAAATCAAGAATATCCCTTTTATACTAATGCTTCCATCATAAGCATTGAAGAAAGTTTAAAATATTAGGTAGAAGGTGATGGGTATTCTGTAGCGAGCTTTCTCTCACTCCTGTTACTACTGAAGCTAACTGGCTTAGCTGGGGGTGACGGGAGATGCAGAAAGGACAAAGGATAGAGGACAAAGCTGGGGTCAGGTGTGTAGGGCACTCAGATGGAAAGGCACAGCAGCCTTGTTGCTTTTTTACTTCTCTTTATTCTGCTTCTTTTCTCTTCTATTCTTTAAGGCTTTGCTTCTAACGTCTTTCTTGAAAACCTTGCTTCTAAAGTCTTCTTTTCTGTTCTTTCAAGCCTCTTTCCTTAGACTCATACTGTCCCATTTTTCGCTAAGCTTTTCTTCAGCATAATCTCTCTTAGAGTCTTTTCCCTCAGACTTGTACTGCCCCATGTTCCCTTTAAAGTCTCAGTGCTCAGACTTGCAGACAAACAACAGCCACATCTAAAAACTGCATTAGCATAACTCTTAAAGTCTTGGTCCTTAGACTTGCACTGTCCCATGTTCTCTTTAGCTTTCTTAGAGCCTCGGTGCTCAGACATGCACTGTCCCATGTTTCCTGTAGTCTCTAGCATAACTCAGCAGCCCACCAGCAGCATCATTTTTGCAAGTAGCCCACCAATCAATCCATCCCCCATCAAAAACCCCTCCATCAAAAAACCCTGCATCCTCCTTTAGAGAGTCTTTTGTATCCAGTGGTAAACAAGGAGGTGGAGCAACAGTTCTTGGGGAGGGGTGTGACATTTAATAAGAGAAACTTCCATTCCTACTTCTCTAAGGTAAATGATTTAGGAAAAGCAGCTGTGCTGTATCTTGCACTCTTCTGCGACTGGGGTCATGCCAAACTCAGCCTGCCGGTTATTGGGCATAGTTAGGTCTGAGTGTATTACCTAAGCAAGGGATTTGGCAAAATACTGTTTTCATTTCTAGTATGCTTAGACTTGCATCAACACACTTGAACAAAACCAATGAGACTCTATCTCTATTACCCTATCAATTCCTCTTCCACATGAGACTGGGGACAGACTACTCAGCTCATAAGTATTTCCTCTAGTTCTTCAGATGAGACTGCTACATAGCAGCACTAGGTATAGAGGCTGAACCTGTCATCTGAATTCTGCTAATCCCCTTTCCACAGCCTATGCCAAATTTCAGGGATTTTGACTATCACCTTAAACACATTCATGGGGAAACAAAGGGAGGGGGGCTCACTGTACCTCTTCCCAGAGTGCAAGATTTTAATGAATCTCTGCCATCCAAAGTATTTATATGTAAACTTTGATTCTCCTATATTAATTAATGGATCAAATAAATTCAACAGTATCCAATATACTTGATGGTTTCATCCACAGGAAGTAGTATCACATTTAAACCAAAACTTAAAGGTAAAACCTGAAAAAATACAAAGCATATGTAGAGAATATTCAAAGTTGCTTAATATAAGTGACTGCCAAAAGTTCATCCTTCTGCCAGGATGGAGGCTTACAGGTTAGAAGATGATTTAAATTGTGTAAGTGGCAAGGGATGGATTTGAATTTTACTTCCTCTAGTTGGTCTGGAGAGTCCTGTCAAAAGACAGTTTCTTCTAATGTACTAGAATTTGAACAAGAGCTATAACAATGAAGTTGATAAAAACACAGAGTCATTCCTTATGCCAGCAATAGTTATTCAAAATTTTACTTTTATAAAACCCGTTATGTAATCTCTATCCACTAGACTTTAGCAGGACTTTTTTGGTGTCATTTACAATTCAGAAAAATAAAGCTTAATCTTGTAACATAATTTGCTTCATTTGCACAAAAACAGAAGTCAAGTTTTACAATACTGAATATCAAATATTTCTTTATTGACCTTCCAGTGCAATCATGGATTAGCTAGAAAACTTAATTAAATTATCTTTATAGACCTTACCTTCCTTACCTGTAAGAGAAGCAGCTGGATTATAGTACCTTTAATTGGGCTAGTCAAGGCAGGTATAGGTCCAGGAATCTGTTTATTATAAAGCCCAGTTTCTTTCTACTTCAACATAAATCATTTTCCTGAAATACCCACAAAAGGACCACCCAACCGGCTTTCTATTTCAAGGTATTTTCTTGGCCAGTACCAACTTGACTCATTGAAGATGGTCCATCCGTAGGTAACTCCACATGGATTCAGCATTTGTCCTGCTTTTTCCAATGTCCTAAATATTGGTGGTAACATGCAGCCTAAGTCACATCATCACTTCTAAAAGAAATACAATTCTGGAGAAGGTATGCATTTCATAAGCTAAACAATTCAACAAAGAAATAAAACATAAGACAAACCCCTGTCAACACAAACAATATGAAATTGCCCAGGTGTTTAAACTAAGCACACCATTTCCAGTCATAGTTCTGCCTCTACTTTTATACTGATGGCTGATAAGTGAAAAACACCAACTAGAGATTGGAGTCCTCAGACGCATAATCCAACTTGTATAACCTTACCTTCCATCTGTACTGTCACTGTGGCATGTAATAGAAAAGTCATTGCCATAGGGCTTCTAGAGATTTTACACTAACGGAGGAACTTGGTTTCAGAGGCTTACCTGGTGGAATGAGATAATAAGCCATACATATAGTGCAGACCAAACACCCACCACTCTTGGAATAGCTAGCTCTCTTAATTCATGTTCAGTCTGAATCTCTGTGCTCCTGCTGGAAACTCTAAGGGTGTGTGTGGGATGAGGTAGGTAGGGGTGATGGGAAAGACTGGCAGCAGCCAGCAGTTATTACCATTCTGAGACTGGACACTATAGCAAGACAAATGTACTTACTTGCTACCAAGTGACAGGTCTCCAGCGGTCCCTGAGGGAACCCCGAGAAGCAAGGCTCCTTAGAGCCCTTCCCTCCTCCTGGGCTTCTGCTTCTTCACTGGTCTCTGGTTGTCTGAGCTCTGATTGCTTAGGAGGTGTTGTTATGCTGATGTCTGCCTTCACCAACTGCTGCCACCTAGCCACAATGCTTGGCAGTAGGCTGGTCCCAGTGAACTGTGAGGTAGAAATCCAGTCACTGGTATGGTTCCCTAGCCTCTGACCCAGAGACCCTTCCAGCCAGATACTGTGGAGCTGCGCCTGCTCGGAAGCTGTTTTTGTCTCCTTCGCCCTCCTCCCTCCCTTGTCTCAGCCTCTACTCTCTCCCCGCCCTCATCTCCAGGACAGTGTGTGGGCGGGTGATGTTGACAGAGCTGGCTGCGGAGGTAATAGCCACACAGCGGTGGCTCTTCTCTTCCAGCTGTGGGGAAAGGAGACAGCAAGAGGAGGTGATGAAGAGGGCCAGTGGGACCAGCACCTGGAGAATAAGACAAAATGAGGAATTAGAGAAAAGCCTGAAAGATGAGCAGGATGCAGACAAATTGTGTGTTTGTGTGCAGGGGAGGAAGTATGTGTAAAGGGGAAAGAAGAGTGGCCTGGGGTGGGGGCAGTAAACTGAGGTTATCTCCAGTTTTTCTTTTTCCTCTCTCTGTCCTGGTCTAGCTACCCCAACACAGCATGCAGGGCAGATTGTCAGCCTGCAGCATACAAATCAGGACTTTGCTGTAGTTAGTGTGTGATGTTTTTGTTGTTTGTAAATGTGTAGCTTTTGAGGAGAGAATTGGTTGAAACTACTATAACCCTGCCATATACTTCTTTCCTATTCTGGTGATTTGAAACATGGTACAGAGCAAAAATTAATTCCTGTTCTAGAAAGCTGTAGTACTTCAGTGTAGTTTGGGGCTACATAGGAAAGAGGTATTAGATCTTTCTTCCCAGGTGGAGTATGGAAAACTTTTGCACACTATAGAACATTCATTTTGCAACTCGTTCTTGTCATTTTGCCCAAAATTTCATCCACATATGTCTCTGAACGACAGCATTTTAAAGAATTTAACCCTGTGACATTATCACACCTAAAAAAAAGAATTCTTTTGCAGTGTCAAATATCCATTTGATTTCTTTTTAACACACAATGTATGGACAACCAGTTTCTCTTCCACCCACTTTGTAGTAACAATGAAAGTACATTTTCTGGTGCATGGTCCCTTGTAGCAATCTGACATACTTACCCACTAAAATTCTGCCCAATTTTTAGTATATTCAAACATAATATATACTTATCAAGCTTAATAAAATCAAACATTTTAAAGCTAAAATATTTGAAATGAATAAAAATAAGCAGTGCTTTACATATTATGCAATGAACAATCAACTGATCCCAAAGTTGTGCAAACCAGTAATGTGAACAAGAGCAAATAGAAAGGAAACCAGTGGTGCTGAGTTTAATTCTGAATTGAACATATTTTGCTGTCATTCTAGCACAAACATTTTGGCCACACTGTTAGATAATATGCTAGGTTAGGGTCTGAAATATTTTTTCAATTTTTGTGCTACTAAAATGATCCAAATGACGAATGGATTAAGAAAATGTGGTATCTATACACAATGGAATTTTATGCAGCCATGAAGAAGAACGAAATGTTATCATTCGCTGGTAAATGGATGGAATTGGAGAACATCATTCTGAGTGAGGTTAGCCTGGCCCAAAAGACCAAAAATCGTATGTTCTCCCTCATATGTGGACATTAGATCAAGGGCAAACACAAGAATGGGATTGGACTACGAGCACATGATAAAAGCGAGAGCACAGAAGGGAGGGGTGAGGATAGGTAAGACACCTAAAAAATTAGCTAGCATTTGTTGCCCTTAATGCAGAGAAACTAAAGCAGATACCCTAAAAGCAACTGAGGCCAATAGGAAAAGGGGACCAGGAACTAGAGAAAAGGTTAGATCAAAAAGAATTAACCTAGAAGGTAACACCCACGCACAGGAAATCAATGTGCATCAACTCCCTGTATAGCTATCCTTATCTCAACCAGCAGTAACCCTTGTTCCTTCCTATTATTGCTTGTACTCTCTCTACAACAAAATTAGAAATAAGGGCAAAATAGTTTCTGCTGGGTATTGAGGGGGTGGAGGGGAGAGGAAGGGGGCGGGGTGGGTGGTAAGGGAGGGGGTGGGGGCAGGGGGGAGAAATGAACCAAGCCTTGTATGCACATATGAATAATAAAAGAAAAAGAAAAAAAAAAGAAGAACCTTTTCCATTGATTTTCTCACTAGACAGATGTGTGTGGTGGGTGGTGTCTGTTTTCCATACTTCTTCCTTGTGAACCTTGCAATTATATTTTCTAAGCTGTGTTTTCTTCCCATATAGTCAAAAAGTAGAAGCTCTAGATCTGCATGCTGTGATTGTCATGAGAAACTCGCTGTCTCACACTGCACTTGAACTGGATAACCTCCAGGAGACGGTACTTTTCTTACAGTCTATTTAATGGAGTTTCTTTATTCTAACTTAGAGAGATCCATATCAGGTGTGTGGGTGGGTCTGGTGTTCTTATTTTTGATTCACATCACCACATCCAGGATTGGAAAAATCTTGTGTTAAAACAATTCTCCTTAAAACATAATGAAATCAGAGCTCATCCTTTGAAAATGTGCCCTTTAGCTGTGTCATCCTATTCTTCTGAGAATAATCATGTGACTTTATGGACACTCCATTTATTAAGAATTCATATGGTAGTTGACAGTTTTCCCCTCTATCCAAACTCTTGCTGTCACTCTTAACAACCTTCTCATCTATTTGGCTGCCAATAACAATTTAGAAGAAGTATCCAACAGCCTTATTTCTCATTTTGTCCCCAATAGATTATCCTTTTCTCCATACCACCTCAGCCTTAATTCATAAACTCACACTTTGAAATTTGTCATAGTAACTGTTTTTCTTTTCTTTATAGCATCTATCTGCCATGTCAGCTATCTATTCCTTATGTGTTATTTTCTACCATGGTCCACTAGAATGCATAGTGCACAGTAGCTGGAAAGCATTTATTCCCTTCTATACAGTAGTACTTTTAATGGAAGTTGTAATATAGCAAGCACGGAGTGAATTTGCTGAAGGAATGATCACCAAGACTGAGCTAATCTACTAGTGCTTTTTGAAAGGAGGTGGTGATTCATCATCAGAACAGACTGTATACAGCCCAGGTAATATGGAGGGCATAGAATTTTCCACTGATCTTATGCATATTTACTTTACCACTTCTGTAATATATGAGTAGGAAAATTTCCACAGGCTGCAGAAGCGTGATACAGAGCAAAGGACTGTCTGAAAAGAAAAAGTAAGAGTACAAAAGGCCAGTCCTGTCTATGAGCAATGTCAAGACCTCAGAGAAATAAAGTACTGAGAAGCAAAAAGCAACTTTCTTTTTTTTTTTTTTTGCAATAGGCATTCTAACTGGTAGAAGGTGATTCTTATTGTGGTATTATTAAGAAATGAATGATAAAAATGTTGGCAAAGATATGGAGAAAAGGGAACATTGGTACAATGTTGACTAGAATATAAATTAGTGTATTCATTTTGAAAGGAGTATAGAAGTTCCTCAAAAAACTAAAAAATAGTGCTACTCATATAATCTAGCAATCTTACTTCTAGGTATATATTAAAGGGATTGAAATTGGTGTATAGATGGGATATATGAGCTCCCATATTTAACTCAGCATTACTCACAATAGACAAGAAATGGAATTAATCTATATGTCCCTACTTGATCAATGTATAAAGAAAATGCAGTACAGACACACAATGAAATATTATGTAGCCTTTAAAAATAAGGAAATTTAAAAACAGAAGGAAATTATGTCATTCACAGCAACATGGATGAACTGTAGAACATTTGTTAAGTGAAATAAGCTAGGCACAGAATGACAAATATTGCACAATTTCATTCATATGTGGAAGCTAAAAACCCCATAGATGCAGAAAGTAGAAAGGTGGTTCCCAAAGGGGGGCAGGGAGCAGAGGGAAGATGCTAGTCAAAGATTGCAGGGACTCAGTTAGAGTAGAGGAATATGTTTTCATAACCTATTGCCCTGCATGGCAACCCAGTTAATAACAATGTATAGTGAGGTGATAAGCTAATTTCTGATTGAATTGTTATACAATGAGTGCATTGATCAAAATACCACAGTGGACTTCATAAAGATACCCAATTATTATTTACCAGTTACAAATAAAGTACAAAATGAAAAGAAGTGGTTTTCTAGTGTTTTCAAAAGGTGGATGCTACAGCCTCACACACTCTGCCTTGACAAAAGGAACTTATTCTAGCAAACTCTGTTTCAACCACATAGATCTTTGGAGCAGTACTTTGTCTTGTAGCCTGAATAAATAGGAGCTGTTATTCCAACCTCAAAGATGTTAATGGTAGGAGTGTAGATGAATATTTTCCTTATACTTATAGAATAGTAAGAAATACAATCTGTTTTTGGTAGTCAAAACCTAGGTCTACAATTCTGAAGGATGAGTAAAATATAAATCAAATTATAGACATATGCCTTTCTGAGAATTTGAATTTCATGATGTTTTCTTATTTCAGTATTGGGAATTGAACTAAGGGCCTTACAAATGCTAGGCAAGTGCTCTTCAACTGATTTACAACTCCTAGTCAAGGATTTTATGATTTTTTTTGTTTTTTGACAGCACTGGGATTTGAACTCAGGGCCTCACACTTGCTAGGCAGGCACACTTACCACTTCAACACTCCACCAGTCCTTTTTTGTTATGGGTTTTCTCAAGATAGGATCTTGCAAACTATATGCCCAGGGCTAGCTTTGAAGCTCAATCCTCCTGATCTCTAGGTAGGAATATACCTAGAGTAACTAGAATTACAAGCATGAGCCATAAGACTTCACATTTTCTTTTACAAATGCTAATTGATTTTCTAAGTGTCATATGTAATATCACTGGAAAATACTTGTTTTTATCTTTATATATTCAAACAAAGACAATGCTATAAAGCCTAAATCAATCCGTTATCATTATTTCTATGTGTTTAGCACTCTGTGTGATTCTCTTTATGCATTTGAATTCCTTGAAATTTCTCC